ATATATTTTTTCAAAGGAGCCCTGGGATTTTTTTAAATGTTGCATAAAGAAATAAAATAACTTTCAGGGAAAAGGGAAAACGTTACAAAGCATAACACTACAGACAGAATGTATGGTGTTTAAATAATGAACTTATATATGCATTAGATTCCAGGCAGTCATTTGCAGTTGTATTATGCATGTATGCATGTTGCAAAGGCAACATGCATACATGCAATACTGAAACTTAATTTGCAGGCCTTAATTTTAGATACTGACCACAAAAGTGATTGCAGTTAAAAAGAAAATCTTTCTTTGCAGTTTGTTGTCTGAAATACTTTTTTTCACACTCATCAAAACAAACAGAAAAACCTACATAATCAGTAACACGACTAAAGACAACTAAAATAATAATACTTTTGAATCTGTTAATTATTTAGCTCTAATTGTGTCATCACCTCTTTATTAAAGCTTAGAAATCCAAATACATTTGCAAGTTGAATACTTTACAGTTAGAAAGAAATGTGTAAAATATACCTTCACGCATAAAATTAAAACAAAACAAATGAAACGTTATCCCAAAACTCCACACATTTCCAGCTAATTTAGCCACTTTATAAACTGATTAGCATAGTTGCCAAATATAACATTTATTAACGCTGAAGACCAAAAACAGAAAGGAAAAGGGAGAATAGAGATTGTGAAAGACGCCATAGGTTTTATTAGTTCAACTAACTGTTAGCTTCAACCGGCCGGTAAAACACAGAGAGCTACGGAAAGCAGCTAGCATTAGCCTCCAGTTGCATTTCCTCAGTAAACATGTTCGATCAGAAATCACGTACGTAACTTACGCTGTCTGAACCCACTCTGTGCGGCGGAATAATCCATCTGAGCAGACTTTAAACAAACAGCAGCTGTCAACTATCCAAATGGTAATCAACTTGTCAGCCGCAAGAGGAAGTTAAGACTCATTCATAACATTCACCCGGAAGTGAAAGTTAGGTTTTTCTTCTTCGTCTTCTTGTCGAAATGTTTATGGCGGTTGGCAAAAACGTTAGGTGAGTATTACCGACACCAACTGGTAGGGAGTGTGAACCACATGGCAAAAAAACAAACAAACAAAAACTATATCCTATTATACAATTCCTGATTACTTCCTTTTGCAGAAAATCAACAATGTCAAGTTTCATTTTCACATTACTAAGTTTCCTAATTAACTTGTTTCTCTCTATCAAATGTTTCCTACAATTCAAAATAACATTTTCCACTGTCTCATATCTTACCCACAGTCCCATTTCATTTCCCTGTCTGACGTTTCCCTATTAAAAATAATGACCTATTCTGACCTATACCGCCATCTAGTGTTTCTGAAGGGGTAATGCTCATCTCAGCTTGAGATCAGCGCCTGTTTCACCCAATTTATCGGTAGAAATGACATCATTTCAGTCAAATACGTCTTTTTTTTAAAAATCCAAATCAAAGTTAATACAATTTGAGCTCATTTTCTTATCTAGATTCCTAAAAATTATTTTATTTTATTTTTCCAGTCACCCCAAAGTTGTGGTCCAAAGGTTAATATTTGTTTTTATCCTGTTAAATTTGGAATTGTTCCTTAAAAGCTGACTGATTACACATTGAGGTAAATTATGACTTTCCTCCATAATGCAGGGCAAACCATTAGGTGCAAAAAAAAACTTCTTTCAACCTCTAAGATACACAATCTGTTGGTCCAAATATATTTAGTACGTCGTTGGCATTAGGGAACACAGATGAAAATAAACTTTAAGTTATCAAATATTATGTGCTGGTTAATGTATAACAACAAATACAGTGTCATGTACTGTAAAATCTATGCATATTTATGCCCCTTGAACTTTACTTTAAGAATCTATTGACTGAACAATTATTCGAAACGCACTCCACAAATCTGGGCTTTGTAGACTTTGTGACTTGAAGACAGTGATGGTTTCATAAGACAACCTGTTTTCAATTAGTAAAAATCCATGCAGTATGTGAAGGAAGTGCTTTGATCAGAGGAGACATGGATTATACTTTTGGGTTTACATACAAAATTCTATGTGCTGCACAAAAAACTTCTATACTTCACCCTGAAAACACCATCACCATGGGGAGACATGGTGGCAGCAGCATCAGGTTATGGGGATTCTGTTCTTCCACAGTAGTATGAAAGCTGATGAAAGTTAATTAAAGAAGAATGGAAAACATGTAAAGGGGGCTAGAAGATAGAGGGCTGCTAAGAAAACGGACAAAAAACCCCCCAAAAAACAAAGCTATCTATATCATGTTCACCTTTGGAATTACCTCAGACTCAGGCTTTGCTGACACAATGTTATTAATAGTTGTGTTTCTATTAAAGATGCAAGATAAAAAACAACAACAAAGTAGACCAATGAAATTGACTGAATGACCAGTACTCTGTTTGGTCCTTATTTTTATAGGTATCTTCCTTTTTTGATTAATGTATGTATTTAAAAGAATCAAGAAGCTTTCATTCAACCATTTTCCCCATAATGATATTTTGTTAATTCACAGAATACAACAGTGGCTGCTACTACTCCAGGTTTAAGCCTCTTTCTGCCACTTACATCTAATGTGTAAAAAATAATATAAATAATGATACCAACAACTGTACAGCTGTAACTACTGTACAAGAAAACAAACAGCTACAGTGGCGGAACCTCCCAATTTAACCACAGAATGGGAGAAAAGAAGGAAGCGGGGAACTTTTTAGTGACTGACAAGCTCCAGCTAAGCACAACTGCAACTGCGAGGCAGACCTGAGACAGAAGAGGAGAAAAAAAGGTCAGCAGAAGATTCTAAATATAACACATCTATTAAAAACATTTTCACATACCAAATTTTCATCTGGCAGCTACCTCTCTATTGATTTACTAAATTCAGCAAATAAAGATATTAGAATAGCTCTGATTGGAAAGACAGGTAATGGAAAAAGTGCCTAGTGTAACACCATCCTGAATCAAGAAGCATTGCATTCTGTTTTCTCTCCAGGTTCTGTGACATCAGAGAGCAAAATGCCACAGGTGAGGTGAAAGAAATCAGAGTTGCAGTGATCGACATACCAGGGATTTATGATACAACTGCTGGGGCAAGTGTGTGAAGAAGCAGAAAAGTACTCAATGGCTCTTTTCACTCATGGTGAGAAATGTGGTAAACTTAGATATTTTAATATACACATGTCATTGGAGGTATCATGTCTGTTTTGAACGATTGGTCGCCTTGGTTCAGTTAAACTCTTTAAACTCTAATTAAAACTGCAAATTAATTTTCTTATACATAAACAATAGTATGTACGTACATTAATGTAAGGCAATGAAAAGCAGTAGATTTAGTATAAAGCCTGTTAAATGTGTGTATTTTGAAAGAATTACACATTTTTCTTGGAAGTAATTTAATATCCTTTTAACATTTGTACAAGTTCTTTTTGCACATAATATAACTAACTTGCAGCTCCATAGATGTTGTACTAATAAGAGGTTGGGGAAAACACATATAAAACAATGACAAACAAAATTTCCCTAATGTAAAATTAAGGGCTATAATTTTGTAAGAGACAAAATTAAAACTGGTTTTGAGAAAAATGTGTTTGCTGTTGCAGGGTTTTTTCTATGAAAAAAAAAATATTTTATGGGAAATGAAATCCATATAAAACTCAAACATTATCATTATTTCTAAAGAAGACAATTATCTTGAGAGTGGTGAGACATAATTTTAAAAGTGAATTAGTTTTTGTTTGTTTTTTTCTTTTTTTTCCTTCTTGTTATGGATGAACTTTCAAAAGTATTGTTAATGTTCTTGTTGGTAATAAGCTGGTTGGTAATAAACATATACCTTTCAGTGATTTTTTTTTTTTTTTACCATGATTTTAAAGATGGAAAGAAAACTGGGTTAAATGTATCTAACTATGTAAAAGTAGTCCATAGAGTAGCTAAAAAAAAAAAATAGTTTTGGACCTTGGAGCCCCTGCAAATATTTAAGAACATGTTTTGGACAAAATTCCATATCTGTTAAATATACAGAAGATTCAAATTTGCCCCAAAAATACTTTTAAACACTTTACTAAATCTTTAAACAAAATGACCACATCCACATCTTTCCTTTGCTGTCAGCTCTCAGAAAGAAATTTGTACTTCAGAGGCATTGACTTTATGAGAATGGATGCCTCATTAAGATTATGATGAGAAATTAGGTAATTGATGAAAAAGGATTTTCCCTGCAGAGATCTGATCCCGAGGAAGATAAGTTTATAAGCCAGTTCAATTAAGAAGCTACATTGAGGCAGACCTACAGTTGGTGCCTCATTGGAGCACAATATCTGCCACTTTCAATGACTAGAAATATAGGAGAAGCAGTAAATACAAAAGCAGCTTACAGAAAATAACAGTCAATTGATTAAAGCATAAACAGATCAAATGTATCTTTTTATTTTATTGCACTTTGATCCAGTAGAATTTGAGTTTCTTCTTGGCATTCAATTATCATTTTTCTATATAATTCCAGACTGGGACTTGCATGAAGCCAAGGCCTTTTCTTGAATTAGGTATATGATTAGGAGAGAGATAAAAGAAGACAGGTTCAGTTTTTTGATTGTACAATCAATTGTATTATAAAAACTATACACCATGTTCCTCCCACCATACAAATAAACCTAGTTAAAGTTTATGGTTCCAACATGAGAAACTGTTTATAAAGGATGAAGGGGAAAGAAAACTTTTGCAAGATGCATGTTTATCAAAAGAAGATGATTAAAATAAACGTTCTGGAATGATGAGATCAAGCAGAATGGATGTAAAAAGTTATTTCATTTTAAAACAACCATCATCAATAATTTTGCACATTTTGCATAACATGCTACACACACAGACCCCCGCCCCCCCGCCAGGCAGACAGAGAGAGAGAGAGAGAAAGAGAGAGGGAGATATGCTGAGTGAAGAAACTTGCCAATGAAGCATAAAAGACATTCATTGTGAATCACAACTACCACAACATTCAGCAAAGCTTCCTTAAGGAGATTTTGTGTTGCCAGTGTTCATTTTTTGTGGCTAAAGCTCTTTTCTTCACACACAGGGTGGAAATCATCGGATAATGGAGCTATCACTGATGCCAGCACAGGTAAGTCATCACAAATGTTGAAAAAGAAAATTAAAACGCTTTCATACATTACCCCTCTCCCCATTTACTACATTTTTTGACTTTTTTTTTTTTTTTTGGTAGACCATTTTTAGATTTTTTTTATATCAGAAAATTGGTTCACTGGGACATAGAGGTCCCATATCTCATACCCAACCTCTGGCCGTGTTTGTTTACACAGATGACAATAGTGAACAGGTGCTCCTTCAATAAATGATGCTTTGAATGCTTTGTCGAGATTTCTGAGCTGAATCTGCAGACTTTTTAAACTGATAATTTTTACATTAAACCAAGTAAAGCTCATTAAGTGCACTCAAAAAATTAAGGTGGTTGTTCCTCAGTTTTTTTTTTAAATGTATAGTCTTACAAACTGGTCATTGCGTGCAGACACATCAGTGGAGCAGCACTTTAATTTATTTCCTCTGTTTTTCAGGGCTTCTGCACATGTGTTTTTCTTTATTAATTTCAGCTTTTTTTCCAGAGACATCTGATCAATCCTGAGCATCAGGATGCAGAAATAGTACTGCAGTAGTACACTGTATGTATGTTTTAATAGATGGATGATATCAACAGAAGCCTTTTTTGTAGTGTTTGATAATAAGGACAAAGAGAGAAATGATGCAGAATGCGGGTTTGAGTTCTGCTAGGGAAAAGAAGGTGAGAGTATGAGGGGTGAATAATCAGCAACAAGGAAGAGATAGGAAACACTTAAAAACCAGGACTAAAGTAAAAGACACCGATCACTAACAAAACAAGACCTGAATAATGTAATTATAATGATCAATTCCATTTATTATAGAGCAGATATGATTACACTCCTCACATTTAAAATTATGCTCTAATTCTGTGACTACTAATCCATCATATTTTGAAATATTATCCAGTTTTTTGTAGGCTAACTTCTTTTCAATTGAAGTATATTCATTTGAAGAGCATTTTTACACCACACTGCTGATTACATCTGCCGGCGAACAGAATTGTTTTTGTTAGATGTAAAACCCTGCTGTCGCACTCAGTAATTTGCCTGTTTATGTGTGAAATTAACACATCTGCTTGTTTATATTGTGAAAAGGAACGGTTCTGCCTGGCCAACTTTAAACCTTTTAGAGAAAAATATTTTGACCCAAACATGGAAAACCAGAGATATCAATCAGGCTAAAAGGTGGCTTCAGTAGATATAGATTCAGGTTACTAACAAGACTTCAGGAAAGTTTTTATAACTGGCAAACCAGTAATAAATAGTGATAATTATTGATTGTGTATATTTTCAGCTGGATTAATGACCTTCTGTAAAAGCTTCTGTAAAACTATTCAAACCAACCCATTTCACAAAGCAGGTATAACAAACTCAAATCCTCTCTGAATTGATCTCTGAATCGATCTAGCTTAAGGTTGGAAACTCTGCACTTTCAACACCGCTGCTGTGAGTCTGTTTAGTGAGTTAGTAGGTCCACTCAGAGTTGAGCATGTGTGTGAAAAGTATGAAAATCCATTATCAGTGGATCTTCGATTTCGATGAGTCACCATTACGACAGGAAACAGGACGTTTATTAATTTAATAAAAGCACCCTCTTCTCTGTTCCATTTGCAGGAAATGAGAATTTGTCTTGGTCAAAAACACATTTCTAGTCGGAACTGTAATAACAGATTTTCCTTAATTACATTTTTGCAGCAGAACTTTTTTCAGAGAGTGAAAAAAGAAAATTTTAGTAGTAAGAATTAAGTTTAATATACCTAGAAATGTTTACACATTTTAATTGGTCCTTTTGACATTTATCAGCTTGAATGAATATTTATTTATGATATCTGAAATACATTTCTTCATAGTCAAAATAATACAAAAGATGACCAGTAACAAAAGTTCACCTTAATGTGCATAGCGCCAATTCACAACACGTCATCTCAAGGCACTCACTGAATGAGTCTTAACTTCCTCTTGCAGGCAGAACATTCAAGCAGATCATACAGTCAAATTAATTTAAAGTTTTCTTTCTAAGGAAAACCAGCTGATTGCATCGACTCATTGACTCAACAGTAATCCCTCACACCAAGCATGCATGTAGCGACAGTGGAGAGGAAAAACTCCTTTGTAACAGGAAGAATCCTCCAGCAGAACCAGGCTGAGTGTGAGCGACTATCTGCTGAGGCCGACTGGGGTTTAAGGAGACAGAAGCAGAGATACAGAAAGGAAGAGGAATATGGAGGTATATGGGGATCTAAAATTCATTTATAGACACCCAGAATGTTTTTTCTATAAATGAAAAATGTTTTTTTTTTTTCCAGATATCAGAAATACATATTCAGTCAAACTAATATATATCAAAAAGAAATGCCATAGCCTGTTGTGGCCACGATAACATTACGAGGGAAACTAGTTTACTGCTTGAATAGTAGTGGATCAATGTATTCAATTTAGTGGAAATTCCCTGGCAGCAGCTGAAGATGGAGTATAAAAATGTTGTTCTAACATGTTGGACCCGAATATAATGTCATGGGGGTAAATTCTCTCTCTGATTCTCTTACATTACACAGTAAATACTAAGTGGCTGTCTGCAACAGCTTCGGATCTTATCATTCCAATAAATGGCTGTTATTTGCGTTTATCAGTCCTCCTAATGTGTCTAACGGAGCTAGTGACTGATTTTCTTTTTAGTGTTTGCACAGATTCACAAGAAAGCTCTCCTGACTAAATCAGGAAAAAGGACATCATGAGTGGCTTCAAGGAGGAAGGAGAGAGAACACAGTCTTTAGGTTAGCTATGGGGAGAATGTTACTATGGTAACAGAAACAGAGGAGTAAACTCTCGTAGTGAAATGGAAAAAGTTTAAAAAAGTGTTCAGTAAACCTGTTTTGTGAAATGCACCCCTGTTAAGTACATCTATTTACATTATACTAGTGTTTTTTCCTGTTTATATCTATGTCCTCTGTAAAATGAGAGGCAATACTCTTTAATTATCTACTGTGAACTCTGTGCTCTAGGTGTGAACCCTGACAGACTGAAAGGGTTTGATGAAGAGCTTCATCTGATTGCCATCTGTTCCAGGAAAGTTAATCAGATGTGCCAAGTGTTTGGTCTTTAATCACTCTGAACAATCTGTATTCCTAGCAATCTGGGGTCAGGTGTGTAAATCTGTGACTTCTTTGAACATTAAAGTGAAGCATCAACTTGTTTTATAACTTTTTTAAGCTGAGATGCTCTGGGGTTATTTATGAGCTGATGATGGATGTTATGTTTTCGCACCAAGAAATGAGCCATAAAGAAATATGTTCAGCATATTTTTGACATGTGCATATGTACCCAGAGTGATTCCATTACAGATTGTCTGTTCTTATTATGTTAATAACCATAGATACTGATGCTAATTCTGTGGCTCCTTCCTCGACTGAACAATCTCCAGGAGTGAAATTATCTTGATGAGTTATCTTTGTCTTTTTAACCCCAAGCCTTCTGTGCAGGCAAGAGTGGCCTTAATTAAGAAATGCCTATCAAAGCATGAGTAATGTACATTTTGGCCCAATCACCATCTGATAAAGAGTCTATCGACTTCTTCATATTGGCAACTGCTAGAGAGCAAACCAGATCATTAAGGTTGTTCTTTCAAAGTTTATCTGAAAATTTGGTGGATCTAAATTTTTTGTTTAGTTTTCATTTAAATCTATCCTGATTAATAATCAGAAAAAAATATCGAATAATAACAAGGAATTTAGCTTTTATGGTTGGTTTACATGTGTCCTTAGGTAGAGAGAAGTTACCCAATCGGCACTGATTAACTCGACATCCTTTTATTATAAAAGTTTTTCTTAAATCAAATTCTAAAGTCAATGAGCTTTGGGTTAGTGGAGTTAAATCTTACTTTATATCAGGTATGTATAATATATTTTTATTTCAAAATATCTGTTCTCCAGCTGTTCAGCCTATGACTTATAAACCTATTGAGCCATAATGGAAATGTGACTAGGACATTTGACATAATAATATATTTTTTATATAATCAGGACAAAAAAGCACAGCTGAAGATAACCCTGAATCGTCATCCTTAGCAAATCTTGTCTAGTTTTTGCTTACAATGTGGTTCTGTTGGTTCCCTGCTGCCAAAACCTACACCATGCACTGGTGCGTTCAAAGCCGAGTGCAGAGTGCAACACTTAAAAGAAAAAGCTCCTCCAAGATCCAAAGCCTAAAAGGCCGTTTGCCCCGCTTTAGTGTCAGTGGAGAGTTCTTGCCTAAACTGGAGGAGTTTAAGAAAATTGTAATCCTGTTTAAAATAAAAGTTGGGCCATTTTTTTATTTCTTAAGTTGGCACACATGGCCTTTATTTCAGGACATGGAGCTGAGAGAGACAGGGAGGCATAATAGTTTTCCTCGGAATCGAGAAAAGGTATAAAAAAATAAAGTTTTTTTTTTTTTTTTTAAGGCATCGGTATCAAGTTTCAAATTCATGTATCTTAACTATACTGCATCAACTAATCTGTGCAAAATACCTGAAAAACAACCAACAAATGACACAAGTCACTAAATAATTTACAGATAGAAGTTGTGTTTTGGCTCCTCACTTCTTTGGTGGCAACTTTGTCAGGATTCATGAAATAATCATAAATGTGGACTATTCATAAAAGCAGAGAGTTAAGCAAATGGTTTGTTGTTTATGTTCACAGGTTATATTGGATCAGAGATTTTAACCATGTGCTGATTGGGTTTTATAAATATTTATCCTTTTGTTGTATTTATTGCTAAGTAGTTTGGTTGCAAGTTTGCTAATTTACGAAAAGCCAGAAGTTCATTATACTTTAATAGGAAAACACTAAATTTTTCATGACTAAAATTTTGCTTAAAAGGGTTATTTCTGTAACAGTTTCTTACCGAATGAACAGCACAAAAAGCAGTCACAGCACGATGGAGTTTTATAGTACTTAGCTTGGTTGCTTCGGGTTTGTATTGCTGACATTATTGCATTTAAGATCTAGATGTAAATAATAGAAAT